GTATGGAACCAGAAAAGACCCCGAATAGCCAGAGGAATGTTGAAAAAGAAAAGCAAAGCTGCGGGCATCACAATTCCAGACTTCCAGCTCTATTACAAAGCTGTCATCATCAAGACAGTATGGTACTGGCACAAAAACAGACACTTAGATCAATGGAACAGAATAGAGAGCCCAGAAATGGACCCTCAACTCTATGGTCAACTAATCTTCAACAAAGCAGGAAAGAATGTCCAATGGAAAAAAGACAGTCTCTTCAACAAATGGTGTTGGGGAAATTGGACAGCCACATGCAGAAGAATGAAACCGGACCATTTCCTTACACCACACACAAAAATAGACTCAAAATGGATGAAAGACCTAAATGTAAGACAGGAATCCATCAAAATCCTAAAGGAGAACACAGGCAGGAACCTCTTCGACCTCAGCCGCAGCAACTTCTTCCTAGAAACATCGCCAAAGGCAAGGGAAGCAAGGGCAAAAATGAACTATTGGGACTTCATCAAGATAAAAAGCTTTGGCACAGCAAAGGAAACAGTCAACAAAACCAAAAGACAACTGACAGAATGGGAGAAGATATCTGCAAATGACATATCAGATAAAGGGCTAGTATCCAAAATCTGTAAAGAACTTATCCAACTCAACACCCAAAGAACAAATGATCCAATCAAGAAATGGGCAGAAGACATGAACAGACATTTCTGCAAAGAAGACATCCAAATGGCCAACAGACACATGAAGAAGTGCTCAACCTCACTCGGCATCAGGGAAATACAAATCAACACCTCAATGAGATACCACTTCACACCAGTCAGAATGGCTAAAATTAACAAGTCAGGAAACGACAGATGTTGGCGAGGATGTGGAGAAAGGGGAACCCTCCAACACTGTTGGTGAGAATGCAAGCTGGTGCAGCCACTCTGGAAAACACTATGGAGGTTCCTCAAAAAGTTGAAAATAGAGCTACCCTACAACCCAGGAACTGCACTCCTGGGTATTTACCCCAAAGATACAAATGTAGTGATCCAAAGGGGCACATGCACCCCAATATTTATAGCAGCACTATCTGGAAAGAACCCAGATGTCCATTGGCTGATAAATGGATAAAGAAGATGTGGTATACACACACACACACACAATGGAATATTACTCAGCCATCAAAAAGAATGAAATCTTGCTATTGTCAACGACATAAATGGAGCTACAGTGTGTTATGCTAAGCGAAATAAGTCAGTCAGATGGGTGCCTGGGTGGCTCAGTTGGTTAAGTGTTGCCTTCAGCTTGGGTCATGATCCCAGGGTCCTGGGATTGAGCTCCACGTCGGGCTCCCTGCTTAGTGGGAAACCTGCTTCTCCCTCTTCCTCTCTCCCCCTGCTTGTGCTTACTCTCTCTCTCTCTCTCTCTCTCTCAAATAAATGAATAAAAATTAAGAAAAAAAGAAAGAAGTCAGTCAGAGAAAGACAAATACCATATGATTTTACTCATATGTGGAATTTAAGAAACAAAACAGATGAACATAGGGGAAGGGAAAGAAAAATAAAATAAGATAAAAACAGAGAGGGAGGTAAACCATAATAGACTCTTAACTATAGAAAATAAACTGAGGGTTGCTGGAAGGGGGATGGGTGGGGGAATGGGCTAAATGGGGGATGGGCATTAAGGAGGGCACGTGTTGTGATGAGCCCTGGGTGTTATATGTAAGTGATGAATGTATACATTTCTACTCCTGAAACCAAAGAAAAAAAAAAAATCTAATCTGCTTGGGCACCTGGCTGGCTCAGTCAGTAAAGCATGTGACTCTTGGTCTCAGGGTTGTGTGTTTGCACCTCACATTCGGTGTACAGATTACTAAAAATAAATAAATAGATAAACTTTAAAAAATCTAATTTGCTTAATACTCAGTAGGCCTTCTCTTAATTTGAGATGTTTTCTTGAACTTTTTTTTTCATTTCCTCACCTTTATTTTCTCTTTTTGTCTGGAACTACTTCTGTTATTTGGATATTAGCTTGTGGGTTACTATGCTATAGGCTGAGAGTACTGTCTAGATCAGGAATAAGAAAATAGAGGGTTCCAAAGGGATGTCTAAAAAGATAGTAAAATTGCTAGATTATTTCGTGTGACTGAACATACTAAATAGAGATTGATTTTAATTTTATTATTTTTTTCTCATTGTTTTGTTGTGTTTTTGTCTTTTATCTTCCAGTTTTCCTCAGTTTTATCTTTCAATCCTTATTAATTTTTTAATAAAGATTTTATTTAAGAGAGAACAAGATGGATAGAGAGAGCATGAGCGGGGGATGGGAAGGGCAGAGGAGAGGGAGAAGCAGACTCCCCACTGAGCAGGGAGCCCGACTCAGTGCAGATCCTAGGACCCTGGGATCACAACCTGAGCCAAAAGTAGACACTTAACCAATTGAGCCACCCAGGTGCCCCATCAACCATCTTATTAATTTTTAATCAATTTTTATCATTATATTTTTAATTTCCAAGAGCCCATTTTTTTGTTGTTGCCTCCTGCACTTTTTTCATAGATACAGTATCTTCTCACTTTGAGGATATCAGTTGCAAAGGTTTTTTTCTTTAAGTTTTCTGTCATCTCTGCCTTTTTTGTATTTCCTCCAGGCTTTTCTTCTTTATGCTTGCTTTGTTCTCTGTCCTTTATGTAAGATGCTTTCCTTCTATATCTAATGTTTCTTAGCTGTCCATTCCTATTTAAGAGTAACACTTAAGAGCTAAAAGGAAGCCGTGTGTGTGTGTGTGTGTGTGTGTGTGTGTTTGAGAGAGAAAGAGAGACCTTGTTAATTAGTTTCTCTTTGGGCTGATTTCCAGAGATGAATCCTCCAGTCTCTTGTCTCTGAGTTATAAACCTGTCAGTCTTCTTAGAACCAAGTGGGGGAAGAGGGTTGGGTTGAGGGATATCCATTTGTTCAATATGTGTGTCTTCCCGAATCCCTCAGTTTTTAGTACGGACACCCCACTCTTGGCTGTGCACAATATTTCCAATCCTGAGTGTCTCTGAATCAACCCTCCCAGTGAGGAAAGCTCTGGTCTTCTTCCAGGAGAGGGAAGGAGCAGGCACTCAGCTACTCTGAGTAGAGGAGGAACTCTGCAAGCCTGAGACCTTTGACAGACTTCTAACCAATTTTACTAATTTCAGCCCCACTTCAGCAGGGTTCTGCAGCATGAATCAGTTCTGCTTCTGGGCTTGCCTAACTGCTGGTGGAGGTTTCAACTTTGTCTGTTGTGCTAAGTCAGCTATCACTCATCCACACGCTTTCCAGATTCTAAAATTTTGTGGTCCTTCTCTTTTATCTCTCCCATCCTCTGTGTCTGTGTCAGTTTATGCCTATTTTTATCCCTTTATTTTCATTTTAGTGAGGTTTCAAAAGGAAGTAGTGGTTAGCTGTCTTTAACCAGAATTAATTCATGTTTATTCTTCAAACTCAAATGTCATATCCTTTCTATAACTTCTCCTGACCCCACATGCAGAATTCATTGCTCCATCATGTATATTCTCATAGGATTTTATGTATGTCTATGATAGCATTTGCCATGCTTTATTTTAATTATTATTTGGATGAATCCTAACTATAATTCTCTTGAGAGTCATCATAATATAATACTATTTTATTACATAGTATAGTTTATATTTCATGGTAGATTTTTAAAACTGAGCCAATAGAAATGAATTTTCACCATCTTCAGGTAGTATCTGAAATTGAGGCTAAAAATGGCCTTTAAAACATTCCTATTTGAGTTTAAGGGGCCTTGAAATACTGTTTCAAAGTACCTCTGTCCAAAGATGCAGCTTCATCCCAAAGGATTTTTAATTTAAGATACTCTGCAGCCAGGCTTATTGCTGATTTGAGATTGAGAATATATCTGGCTCAGCCACATAGCCACCCTTAAAAAGAAGAGGCAGCTTTGCTTTAAAGGAAGGGTAAAATGGTAAGAGAAACAGTAGTCATCGGTTATATGGAATATGTGCTACTCTGCTACAGTGACAGAGAAGATCCAAGAATGTGATAGTTTCAAGGCATCATGGTTGATCAGCAGTATCAAAATCCAAGCCAAAATAAACTATTTTTCTTGGAAAAAGGAAATTTTTCTATGTGCCAAGTAATATGCCAAAAAAATATCCTTTTACAAATGTTATTTCATTTAATTCTCAAAATATCCTTACAAAGTAGTTGTTTTTATGCTATCAGTTTTACAGTTGAAGGATTTGAAGTTCAAAAAATCCAAGGTTAACTAATCAAAAATTGATAATGTTTTCTGAGCACCTCCCTTCTGACCCCTGTCCTTCTGCTAAGTGCCCTTCCTATATGCTGCTATTGTACCCTGAACTTACCTTTTTTTTTTATTTAAAATTTTATTTATTTATTTGAGGGAGAGAGAGTGAGCAAGAAAGAGCACAAGCCAGGGCAGAGAGGCAGAGGGAGAAGCAGACTCCCCACTGAGCAGGGAGCCCAATGCAGGACTCAGTCCTGGGACTCCAGGATCATGACCTGAGCCAAAGCGTCTGCTTAGCCGACTGAGCCACCCAGGCGCCCCACCATGAACATATCTTTATCTTAACACTCATCTTATTCAAATGACATTATGTTTATTTATCTATCTCCCCCATTGGACAGCTCCTCAAGGGTTGGAACAATGTCTTATTCTCCAGTAGGAGAATAGGCCTTGAACATACAAAGTTCTCAATAAATAATATGTTGGACTACAAATCTGAGCTCAGAATTCAAACCCAAATCTGTCTTATTCATCATTATAGGCACACATCCAGATATCCAGATAATCAGTGCTTTAAGGAAGCTTTGAGGAGGAAAAATAAGCCATTTCTGTAAACTTCAGCAGATTTGATTTTTTATATTGAGAAAAGCTGATGTTTTCAGAACTCTTCCTACCAACCAAAAATGGAAGAAAAGAGTAGCCTGAAAAATTAAAGTTGACACATACATCAGAGGAAGGATATCAAGAATGTTGTTTGCTTTATTTCCAGGGGCCTTATGGGTGTGCATCATTTTAAATCCGCATTGCAAACTGGAGGAAAAGTCCTGTTGGCTACAGCAACTGCAGAAGTGGAGTGACCTGGATATCTGTCCCCTGGAGGATGGGAACTATGGGCACGAGCTGCCCAACATCACCAATGCACTTCCCCAGAACACCAGTCACAGCCCAGGTGAGCCATATATCCTTCTAGGGACTTTGTGCCTGGAACTCCAAAAGGTGGGAGAATGAAACTCTAGAACAAAGGTGGCCAGATGGTTGGCTATCAATATTGTCATCCTCAGTAAGAAAAGCCTGTCCTTTTGTTTATCTTGAATTGCCACGCCTTAAATAAGGGTAAGCTTTTTATCTTTGACATTGGGGATGCTGTGTCTTTTTCCATATCTTGAGTGTCCTTAGAGTGCCCACCATAAATTCCTAGAGCCTTCTGCATGAATCCTCTTTACCTTTCAAGTTCTTCATGACTAATGGATCTTGGCCTCAGTTGGGGTTGGTTTTAGCTTAGAAGGCCTGCCTCAAGGGAAGGATGGAATGGCAAAAAAAAAACAGCATTTATTTATTTACTTATTTATTTGTTTTTAAAAAACAGCTTTTAAAAATGCCCTGACAGGGACACCTGGGTGGCTCAGTCATTAAGCATCTGCCTTCGGCTCAGGTCATGATCCCAGGGTCCTGGGATCGAGTCCTGCATTGGGCTCCCTGCTCAGCGGGAAGCCTGCTTCTCCCTCTCCCACTCCCCCTGCTTGTGTTCCCTCTCTTGCTGTCTCTCTCTATGTCAAATAAATAAATAAAATCTTTAAAAAATAATAATAATAATAAATAAATAAGAATGCCCTGACAATTGCTTTTCTTACTTTTCTCTGTTTTCCTCGAATTTTTTATACAGCAGATAGCTAGGTTGGATTATCTTCCCAAATTACGGCTAGGACTCTTGCCCCATTTTAAGACGAATCTAGTACAGTGATACTGTACCCTCTGCCTTTTGAGCCCCTGGCCTGCAATTATCACGGAGCATCAGCATTCACGTCAGTTTTAATTCATCTAAGTCAGGCTGTTTCCTATTGGCAACTGATTTCCCTTTAGCCCATTGGGAACCTATATTGGTAGGAGATTTTTTTTCAGACATTGATTTTACATGTGGTCCCTTCTATTTTAAGTGATAAATCTGATATTTTTAATCTCAAGAAAATAATTTAAATTATTGTTCTGGCCAGGTCTTCATCTACTGTACCATAACTGATTGTCAGTGTATTTAAAGCAACTAAGGTGACAAGAGTTTGAAAAAGCTGCAGTTTTGCCACTTCTTTAAGCTACACTTTACTGGCACTCATCTAACCTCCACAACACAGCATCCCTTTAGTATTGGCTTTTGATTGGCGTAGAGAGTCAAATGCATATAAAGACATGCCTATAGTCGGGCAGTTTCTTTTTTTTCTTTTTAATTTTTTGTTATGTTAATCACCATACATAACATCATTAGTTTTTGATGTAGTGTTCCATGATTCATTGTTTGTGCATAACACTCAGTGCTCCACGCAGAACGTGCCCTCTTTAATACCCATCACCAGGCTAACCCATCCCCCCACCCCCCTCCCCTCTAAAACCCTCAGTCTGTTTTTCAGAGTCCATCGTCTCTCATGGTTCATCTCCCCCTCCAGTTTCCCCCCCTTTATTCTTCCCCTCCTCCTTTTTTCTTTTTTTTTTTTTAAAGATATATTGTATTATTTGTTTCAGAGGTACAGATCTGTGATTCAACAGTCTTGCACAATTCACAGCACTCACCATAGCACATATCCTCCCCAATGTCTATCACCCAGCCACCCCCACCCTCCCCCCCCCCACCACTCCAGCAACCCTCAGATTGTTTCCTGAGATTAAGAATTCCTCATATCAGTGAGGTCATATGATACATGTCTCTCTCTGATTGACTTATTTCGCTCAGCATAACACCCTCCAGTTCCATCCACGTCATTGCAAATGGCAAGATCTCATTCCTTCTGATGGCTGCATGATATTCCATTGTGTATATATACCATATCTTCTTTATCCATTCATCTGTCGATGGACATCTGGGCTCTTTCCACAGTTTGGCTATTGTGGACATTGCTGCTATAAACATCGGGGTGCATGTACCTCTTCAGATCCCTACATTTGTATTTTTGGGGTAAATACCCAGTAGTGCAATTGCTGGGTTGTAGGGTAGCTCTACTTTCAACTTTTTGAGGAACCTCCATACTGTTTTCCAGAGTGGCTGCACCAGCTTGCATTCCCACCAACAGTGTAGGAGGGTTCCCCTTTCTCCGCATCCCCGCCAACATCTGTCGTTTCCTGACTTGTTAATTTTAGCCATTCTGACTGGTGTGAGGTGACATGTCATTGAGGTGTTGATTTGGATTTCCCTGATGCCGAGCGATGTTGAGCCCTTTTTCATGTGTCTGTTGGCCATTTGGATGTCTTCTTTGGAAAAATATCTGTTCAAGTCTTCTGCCCATTTCTTGATTGGATCATTTGTTCTTTGGGTGTTGAGTTTAAGAAATTCTTTGTAGACTTTGGATACTAGCCCTTTATCTGATATGTCATTTGCAAATATCTTCTCCCATTCTGTCGGTTGTCTTTTTTTGTTTTGTTGACTGTTTCCTTTGCTGTGCCAAAGCTTTTTATCTTGATGAAGTCCCAATAGTTCATTTTTGCCCTTGCTTCCCTTGCCTTTGGCGATGTTTCTAGGAAGAAGTTGCTGCGGCTGAGGTTGAAGAGGTTCCTGCCTGTGTTCTCCTTTAGGATTTTGATGGATTCCTGTCTCACATTTAGGTCTTTCATCCATTTTGAGTCTATTTTTGTGTGTGGTGTAAGGAAATGGTCCAATTTCCCCAACACCATTTGTTGAAGAGACTGTCTTTTTTCCATTGGACATTCTTTCCTGCTTTGTCGAAGATTAGTTGACCATAGAGTTGAGGGTCCATTTCTGGGCTCTCTATTCTGTTCCATTGATCTAAGTGTCTGTTTTTGTGCCAGTACCATACTGTCTTGATGATGACAGCTTTGTAATAGAGCTGGAAGTCTGGAATTGTGATGCCCGCAGCTTTGCTTTTCTTTTTCAACATTCCTCTGGCTATTCGGGGTCTTTTCTGGTTCCATACAAATTTTAGGATTATTTCTTCCATTTCTTTGAAAAAAGTGGATGGTATTTTGATAGGGATTGCATTGAATGTGTAGATTGCTCTAGGTAGCATTGACATCTTCACAATATTTGTTCTTCCAATCCATGAGCATGGAACGCTTTTTCATTTCTTTGTGTCTTCCTCAATTTCTTTCATAAGTATTTTATAGTTTTCTGAGTACAGATCCTATGCCTCTTTGGCTAGATTTATTCTTAGGTATCTTATGGTTTGGGGTGCAATTGTAAATGGGATCGAGTCCTTAATTTCACTTTCTTCTGTCTTGTTGTTGGTGTGTAGGAATGCCACTGATTTCTGTGCATTGATTTTATATCCTGCCACTTAATATGAGTTCTAGCAGTTTTGGGGTGGAGTCTTTTGGGTTTTCCACATACAGTATCATATCATCTGCAAAGAGTGAGAGTTTGACTTCTTCTTTGCCGATTTGGATGCTTTTTATTTCTTTTTGTTGTCTGATTGCTGTGGCTAGGACTTCTAATACTATGTTGAATAGCAGTGGTGATAGTGGACATCCCTGCCGCATTCCTGACCTTAGGGGGAAAGCTCTCAGTTTTTCCCCATTGAGAGTGATATTCACTGTGGGTTTTTCATAGATGGCTTTTATGATATTGAGGTATGTACTCTCTATCCCTATACTCTGAAGAGTTTTGATCAAGAAAGGATGTCAAATGCTTTTTCTGCATCTACTGAGAGGATCATATGATTCTTGTTCTTTTGTTAATGTATTGTATCACATTGATTGATTTGCGGATGTTGAACCAACCTTGCAGCCCAGGGATAAATCCAACTTGGTTGTGGTGAATAATCCTTTTAATGTACTGTTGGATCCTATTGGCTAGTATTTTGGTGAGAATTTTTGCATCCATGTTCATCAAGGATATTGGTCTGTAATCCTCCTTTTTGATGGGGTCTTTGGTTTTGGGATCAAGGTAATGGTGGCCTCATAAAACGAGTTTGGAAGTTTTCCTTCCATTTCTATTTTTTGGAACAGTTTCAGAAGAATAGGTATTAATTCTTCTTTAAATGTTTGGTAGAATTCCCCTGGGAAGCCATCTGGCCCTGAGCTTTTGTTTGTTGGGAGATTTTTGATGACTGCTTCAATTTCCTTAGTGGTTATAGATCTGTTCAGGTTTTCTATTTCTTCCTGGTTCAGTTTTGGTAGTTAATACATCTCTAGGAATGCATCCATTTCTCCCAGGTTATCTAATTTGCTGGCATATAGTTGCTCCTAATATGTTCTTATAATTGTTTGTATTTCTTTGGTGTTGGTTGTGATCTCTCCTCTTTCATTCATGATTTTGTTGATTTGGGTCATTTCTCTTCTTTTTGATAAGTCTGGCCAGGGATTTATCAACCTTGTTAATTCTTTCAAAGAACCAGCTCCTAGTTTCGTTGATCTGTTCTCCTGTTCTTTTGGTTTCTATTTCATTGATTTCTCCTCTGATCTTTATGATTTCTCTTCTCCTGCTGGGTTTAGGCTTTATTTGCTGTTCTTTCTCCAGCTCCTTTAGGTGTAGGGTTAGGTTGTGTATTTGAGATCTTGTTTCTTGAGAAAGGCTTGTATTGCTATGTACTTTCCTCTTAGGACTGCCTTTGCTGTATCCCAGAGATTTTGAACAGTTGTGTTTTCATTTTCATTTGTTTCCCTGAATTTTTTTAATTCTTTAATTTCCTGGTTGACCCATTCATTCTTTAGTAGGATGCTCTTTAGCCTCCATGTATTTGAGTTCTTTCTGACTTTCCTCTTGTGATTGAGTTCTAGTTTCAAAGCATTATGGTCTGAAAATATGCAGGGAATGATCCCAGTCTTTTGGTACCCGTTGAGACCTGATTTGTGACTTAGGATGTGATCTATTCTAGAGAATGTTCCATGGGCACTAGAGAAGAATGTGTATTCTGTTGCTTTGGGATGGAATGTTCTGAATATATCTGTGAAGTCCATTTGGTCCAGTGTGTCATTTAAAGTCTTTATTTCCTTGTTGATCTTTTGCTTAGA